CTCCTGAAAGGAGGGGGTAGCAAGGGGGGGGATTGGTCTTTTCTCCCCAGGAACAAGCGATGGGATGAGAGGAAATGGCCTCAAGTTGTGCCAGGGGAGGGTTAGAATGAATCTGAGGGGAAATGTCTTCACTGAAAGAGTGGTCAAGCACTGGAAGGGGCTGCCCAGGGCAGTGGTGGAGTCCCTCCTGGAGGGAGAGACATAGTTTAGTGGTGGACAGGTTATGGTTGGACCTGATGATCTTAAAGGTCTTTTCCAACCAAATGCTTCAATTATCTCTCATTAGAGGTGAGAACACAGGCTGGGAGGTTACTTCAAGCTTGTTTACAAAAAATCATGGTAAGGCATAAATTCACCACAAGAAAATGTGCAAATTATCACTTTTAGTACTCAAATTATGTACACAAACTCATGCTGATAAACTGTAAATCTTTACAATAGGAACAGATCAGATTTGTAAAGTTTGATAAAAATATCAGCAACTAGCAGAAGCATTAAATACTTTAGCACAGAGACACTTCCACTTAGCAAGGACTTCTCAATAATACTCTGTAGGAATGTGCTTTGTAAATTCATGTCAGAAATCAATATTTACCCATTAATAATGCAGGGTCCTTTTTTGAGATGGCAGTTCTTTCCTGTAAATCCCATGGCACACAGACAAATGTATCCTCCATCACCAGTCTCTATGCATGTTGAGTTGTTGGTGCAGGGCTTTGCAGAGCATGGGTGAATATCTATTAAAAACAAAGAAGCAAACAACAAAACCCAGGGTTTAATTAACCTAATGAGAAAGAATCAGTAATATAGCTTTAATAGTCCTTCATCCTGCATTTTGTAAATTCTGATTTATTCCTCCCTCTGTTAAAACAGAAATTGTTCAACTGCTGCACGCACTTTCAGCTTGTTTGTCTCTTCCTAGCTCCCACTTGTAAAAGACGTTCACATTGCTCCAGTCTATAAATAAGTAATATTATCAATAAAATATTTGCAGGGGAGAAGGAGCTAGGCAGTCCAGCCATCCTTACACAACCTTGGCTTCTTCATGAGCAGAATTCTGATAAAGTGATCAGGAACAGGGAATTCTCCTCACTCCCTGCCCGAGAGCCTGTCATTACGTGCATATGAACAAACATTTCATAATAACAGAGATCAGCAAGCTACAAAAATCTCTTAAAATGTCATTTGTTGGCTGGGCTGCATTCAACCCTTACATAACTGTTCCGAAAGAGAGAGCTGTATGACGTCTGGACCCCAAGTCACACATCTCATCTTCTTTACAATTTCCCCGCTGAGCCACTTCCCACTCGAACGATTACTGAATTTTTAAAAATAATTAAAAATAAATAAACAAACAAGTGCATATTTTGGTCAACTGACGGAGCAGCTGCAGAGAAGTGCTGACTGCAAGTTCTCTGATGCACACGCGTGTGCACACATACACTTCCTAAGAAGATTAAAAGAGATTTAAGGGCATTTATATTTTGCACCCCACAACATTAACATCAAAGTTAGGTGATACCGTGAGGTACTGCAAAATTTTAACCATAGCACAAAGTCTCAACAGCCTTAGCTTTCAAATATAATCTTCCCTGGATAAGAGGCTCTATTTTTTAACATATTAGCCCACTTTGTGTACACTTAGAGTGTAAGCTCCAATTTTCACAAGGACCAAAATAACCTTGAATGTTGTGTGGCAGCTAATAAAGCATGAACTCTGATGCAGGAGCAAGGAAACTCTCTGAAATGCATATATGCATAGGTATGTGTATATTTATATATACATACGCACACACACATTACTGTCAGTAATTTGTGTCAGCGATTCAAGAACACAACTTAAAAGCTCATAGGACCATATGCTTTTAAAATATAAATACATAAATAGCCCCAAATAGCTCATTGTCTCTGTTTTCTCTAGTTTACCTCTTAAAAGGCCAGCTTCAGGTGATAATGGAGTCTGAGATGAGAATTCAAAGGATGGTACATTGACACATGTATTATGAATGGCTGCAATCATACCAGCAACAAATTAATTAATTAAAGCATGTGTAAATGCCAGCAGTCACCAAAAGAGCAGGGGCCTTCAAAAGCCTTCCTTTTTCCTAACCTGATCAAGTTTCCTCTAGTGGTACCCGTTAGTGAGTTATAGCAGTCTGTAATGACTTTATACAGTAGGAAACCCACACCGACTTTTTGGCAGAGATCAGTGGCTGAGCAATTAACCCACTTGAGGTTTTGGTGCTTTATGAAGTCAAGATAACAATTTGTAGCAACCTTTCAGCAGCAACAAAAGGAGGACCCTTCTTTTGATCCCTTGTGGCAAAGCAGTGCATTTAGAGTATGTAAATCCACTGAGATGAAAGACTGGCAATTTCTGATGAATAAATGGTTATTTCTTTTTGGCTAAATATTCCTGGCAGCTCTTCATGGGCATCTAGATTCAAATTGGCAAAGAAGACTCTGAGATGTCTCTGAGTGTTGAGAGAAATAGCAGTTTCTGAACTTAAGCAAGGGACACCTTTTTTGGTATTATAGAACTACCTTAATACGTATTGAAATAATATTTTTCCATAAAGATATGGGTACAGTTTCCAAAGCATTGCTTTGTGTTCTAAGTATCATTTGCAAGAGGAAAATGTTGCAAGGCTCAGAATTGCAAAGATATATTAGTACTTAGAAATTCAGCTGGGCACGGCTTTTAAAACTATGCCTAGCTTGAAAAACTTAATTTACAGGAATCTTTAGACGTGAAGTTGGTGCCTTTGAAAATCTGGTCCTTTGGAGTCATTGACAAGTGATAAAACCGAGCGTATGGGCAGAAAACCCTGATGAAATGAGCTAAATGAGTCCCCCGAATACCTTGCAGCAAGCTCCATGTCACTGCAAGGATGCGAACCACCCAAAATCCTCTGAACCTTTTAGTCATCTTGAAAATCCTATCCAGCTCAAACTGTGTCATTGTAAATCACCGTTTTGGGTGTTCATTGGCAGAACACATGCATGCTCTATAAATTATATAGGCTGTATAACAACAAAAGCCTGAAAGATATGGAAAGATACTGAGGCCCTGGACACTCGTCCTCTTCCAGCTGCAGCTACATGGGCCAAGCAGGCGATCGCTCTGGGGTGCACACACGGTTTTGGCACCCTCAGATCCATTTGGCTGAACATTTGCCTGTGTCAGCCAAAATAAAGCAGCTCAGCCAAGGCCAATTTTTTGGCTCGCTTCTGCTAAGCTGGCTCATTCTGACTGGCAAATGCTGAGAGAGCGCACACAAGAGCTGTGCTTATCCCTCAGATCCGAGAGGGAAGTGGCAGCCTGTTCAGGCAGACCTTGGTTATACTAATGCTACTCCACTGAATCATCACTGGGCTAAGTAAAGGAAGGAATTAGCACAATGCATTCCTTTTCAAGACGCATTAAGAAACTAGCATACATAATGTGCTAGGTAAATCACAGAATCACAGAATATTAGGAGTTGGAAGGCACCTCGAAACATCACCCAGTCCAATCCCCCTGCCAGAGCAGGATCACCCAGACTGGGTCACACAGGAATATGTCCAGGTGGGTTTTGAATGTCTCCAGAGAAGGAGACTCCACTACCTCTCTGGGCAGCCTGGGCCATGCTCTACCACCTTCACACTCACAAAATTTGTCCTCCTCTTCAGCTTGAACCTCCTGTGCTTCAGCTTGGGACCATTGCCCCTTGTCCTGGCATTGGCCATCCAAGAGCACAGCCTGGCTCCTTCCTCCTGACACTGCCCTTTCCCAATGGATCCCCAGGAATGAGGGCACCCCTCAGGCTCCTCTGCTCCAAGCTCAAGAGCCCCAGCTCCCTCAGCCGCTCCTCAGCAGGAGATGCTCCCCTCCCTCCAGCATCTCTTTGCACCTCATCTTTGTGGCCCTGCTGGACTCTTTCAAGCAGTTCCTGTCCTTCTTGACCTGAGGGCCCAGCACTGGACCCAATATTGCAGCTGTGGTGTGAGCAGGGCAGAGCAGAGGGGAAGGAAAACCTCTCTCAACCTACAATCACACCCAAGGTATATTTATATATATAATATTTCCAATTATTTAACATATACAAGGCAGCTTGTATTTTTATAGAAAGGGCTTATAGGACAATAAAGGAGCAGTTATTTGTTGGCCTTAATAAATGTTTAAAACAGAATGATGAGTTTTTGCTTTGTTAGAATATAAGCCCAATTGCAAAAGATACTGCAAGCTTCTGCCTAAATTATTTTAAGTTTCAGGTTTATGTGTCGCTGCCTTGAATCCCCTCATTATCTGGCGCTAACATTCAACCTGTTAAAAGCAGTTATCCAGAAGGCCTTTCCCATATATCCAGCACCAGATGGGGCTGTTTCACCTCCCTTGCTGTGAAGGACAGGCAAGGATGTGCGAACCTGTGTCACAGAGGCTGCCGACCCAGCCCTCCTCGCAGATGCACTGCCAGGGCTTGGCACAGCCGCCGTGCACGCACCCCGGAAAAGGGACACACTGGTTACAGAGAGCACCCTGCCAACCGGGCTGGCACCTGAAAGAGAGAAAAGGCAAGACAGAGACAGAGTTTACTTTTAAGAACCATCATTACAAGGACGTTCCCCTTTTATGAGGCGCAATAGATAAGTTTGTGGGTACAAAATTGGACCGTGTGGCTCATCTGAACACAAAGGTGCCATGAACACTTCTGGGATACTACAAGTAGTTTATGTCAAGAAACCCATTTCATTCCGTGAGAAAACGAAATAAATAAGTGCTGATCAATGTGAAGACTTTTCTTACTGAAAAAAGCAGACTATTTTAGACTATATAGACACCCAGATGTCTATGCTCTATGATTCCAGTTACTACATCCTAATGGAGTGTAGTTTCATTACGGTCCTGTATTTTCAGAGGGCAAATCATTTCAGCTTCTGTCTATTTTACAAGGGCTATAAATTATTGAAGCTGTCCGCTCCTGCGCTAATAGCCCTGTCTGACAGATCTTTTTACCTGCATTCGCTGGGAAATTCACAAAATCCATTCTCTGGGTGGCAGCCAGTTTTACAGTTCACGCCTGGAAGAAGAGATTTGTAATATCAAACCAGAAAAATCAGCACTCAAAAAAAACCAAAACTCACATCACGTCCTATGCACGTGACTGATGTGTTCAAAGAACCTTGACTACATAATGTTCTGATCTTTTTCTCCAAATGCATGTTTTTGCAACACAAAATTTTAAATTAACTTCATCTGGAGCATGTTGCAGAGTGCTCCTATAGAATAAGTGAAATGACAAATTAACCGCAAAAGAATACAAACCAAGTCACTTTAGCATAGGCAGTGGATGCAGTATCACTATACGCTACTTTAAAAGGGAAATTTCAGAAGACACCCATGTATGTAATTTCACAACATGCCAATCCAACTGCATTGTTTTAGAACTGCTTGAAACACAAAAGCACCTTTAGTGAGGAAAAAAAAAACAAACAAAAAACCATTTAAATCAATGCACTGTATAAATGTTGAATTCATTTCAAACTTGTGTCGGATGAAAACAAAAAAAATCACCATTTCCATTAAATCATGCATGAATAATGTAAGTTAAGGCGAAGAGGTGTCAGACGCATTTTTGTGTTGGTTTCAAGCATTTCATACAATCACAGAGACACTGAGGATGGTAGAGACTCCAAGATCATCCAGGCCAATTGTCAACCCAGCCCCACCATGGCCACTAAACCATGTCCCCAAGTGCCACATCCACACGGTTTGTGAACCCCTGCAGGGATGGGGACTCCACCACTGCCCTGGGCAGCCCCTGCCAGTGCTTGGCCACTCTTTCAGTGAAGAAATTTCCCCTCATATTCAATCTAACCTTCCTCTGGCACATCTTGATTCGCACCAAGCGATGCTGCTCTGAAGTGTTACCACCATCCTACGCCAAAGACACGAGAAATGCCCTCAGGAGAAGCCTCTGAGGACCCTCGGCACTCCGGGCGCTAGGGAAGACTTTGCCCTCAGGGGGCCTCGGCTCCCCCCGCCGCTTTCCGAC